TCCCTCTAAGCTGCATTAACATGTGTAAATACATCTAAATGCCACTTCATATGCAACTTCTGCAAAGATACATTTTATTGATACTGATTTAATTTGTTTAGTAACGGCCTAAATGTATTATTATTATTATAATTGACTGATTAAATGTAAGAATTTGACTCGAAAGATGATGTACACTTTTAGAAAACAATGGCTTTATAAAGGTAAGAATGCCCATAAAAGTTAAAAATCTATTTAAAAATATTGGAAAAGATTAATTTCTATCACTGCTGTGAACTGACCCGCACACAGAATATGAAGAATATCAAAAACTTTAGGAGTCAGCTGTCCACGGTAGTCCTTAAGATAATAGGACAATAACACACTCAGCAAAATATCATCTAATTATCTTTATCGATAAAATCACAGAAAATATTGAGATATTATTTTTTGTCAATATCGCACACCCCTAGTACTGACAAAATTATAATTTTTTTTGGCTAGTAGAATTTATGAATGGCCGGTAACTTAAATTTAGTAGCCAAATTGGCTGGTGAGTGAAAAAGTTAATTTCAATCCCTGTATATATATATATATATATGTATGTGTGCTTTAGTGCTGTCAAAATTAACCAGTTAACACATGCGGCATGCCATTCGTTTTTTTCAGTTTAACAGCATTAAAAATATTTAACGCAATTAACGCAGGGGTGGAGCTAGGGTTGGCCACCCCACTCACAACTGCTGCTTCTGTTTATTTTTTTCTTGACGACGAACTGCGATTATGGTATATGACCACATCAAACAGGAGACACTTTAGACACGCAGTCCAACTTCACCTCAGCGCCAGGTGCTAATCAAACGAGCACAGAAAAGGTACAGGTGACGAGGGAGCTTCAGTAGAACAACAGTGAACTGTGGTCAGATGAGATGTTGTCAGGCCATATGTCAGTAAAAACCAATTCTACTGTCCTGTCAGCCGTTATACTGTGCTCGTAGCACGTGCTCTTCAATTGTACACAAATGCGGCGGCACGCGCTGTGTATCATTTCATATTAAAGCGCAAAAGAAACTACGAGCGTACTTGTGCATTAATTAGCAGCTTCCTAGCAACCACACCCTAGTAAATGCATAGCAACACCCTGACATCATAGAGATTTCCCACTAATATTAACAAAACCTCCACTAATATTTGCATAATTGTTTTATTCAGATCTGTAATAGTACAGTTAATAGACCAGGTCATATTTTATCTTTCAGGATGTCCTTGCTCTTGTGGATAAAAAGGACAATGGGTTGGAGAATGAAGCAACACTGCTTAGAGTAAGTGTGTGTGTGTGTGTGTGTGTGTGTGTGTGTGTGTGTGTGTGTGTGTGTGTGTGTGTGTGTGTGTGTGTGTATATATGTGTATATATATATATATATATGCGCGCAGGGTTTGTTATTAACACCCACCAACCCGCCAAATGCGGGTAAAAATCAGCTGTGGCGGGTAATGCTGTCAAATCACTAGCCAATTTGGCCGGTTACTTTTCCTAAATTATGTTCACTAATTAATTTCTTGGGGAAGTTCATGCAGGCCAAATCTGCTCAGGTTTAGCGCAAATACTGAACTCGTGAGACATCATGACATTATCGAGTCTATTGCAAAAGCTAAACAAAACACACCTACAGAGGCACACATACACAATGAGATGAAGGCTGGTTAGACCAACACAGGCTTTAGTGTGCGTGCGCTTTTAGAGTGTGCTCTTTCACTGCATGATTCAGTCTATTAATATGCATTAACAATGATCACATACTTCAAGATAAGGAGGCAGAAAATGTATATATTTATATCAATTCATATAGTTAATCAATATCACACGAAGAGAAAAAATCAGCATGGTTATAAATGTGATATTTATTTTATACAACAGTTCAATAAACAATAAGTTAATATCAAGAGACTTACATTTTAAACACCATATTGGCTGTTTTTGCGCTATTTCTGTGCTATTTCGCCAACAAAAAACATTCCAAACACAGCCACAGTACTGTTTTGCTTCTCTGAGCAACATGACGTTGTTTTGTTTCTGAATGAATCAACCGTGTAAATGAATTCGGTTCAATCGCAATGACTCACTTAACAGTGACTTGCTGCCAGCTACTGGCGGTTTTAATTTCACATTTAATGTATCTTTTAATTTTTTTAATAATTTCACGTTTTAAATATCAAAACATTATTTATGCATTTGTAACTGCAGTTTAAAGCATTCCATGTCCCTCTAAACTGCATTAACGTGTAAACTTCATATGCAACTTCTGCAAAGATACATTTTATTGATAATTTGTTTATTTGTTTAGTAACGGCCTAAATGTATTATTATTATTATAATTGACTGATTAAATGTAAGAATTTGACTCGTGTACACTTTTACACTTTTAGAAAAAAATGGCTTTATAAAGGTAAGAATGCCCATAAAAGTTAAAAATCTATTTAAAAATATTGGAAAAGATTAATTTCTATCACTGCTGTGAACTGACCCGCACACAGAATATGAAGAATATCAAAAACTTTAGGAGTCAGCTGTCCACGGTAGTCCTTAAGATAATAGGACAATAACACACTCAGCAAAATATCATCTAATTATCTTTATCGATAAAATCACAGAAAATATTGAGATATTATTTTTTGTCAATATCGCACACCCCTAGTACTGACAAAATTATAATTTTTTTTGGCTAGTAGAATTTATGAATGGCCGGTAACTTAAATTTAGTAGCCAAATTGGCTGGTGAGTGAAAAAGTTAATTTCAATCCCTGTATATATATATATATATATGTATGTGTGCTTTAGTGCTGTCAAAATTAACCAGTTAACACATGCGGCATGCCATTCGTTTTTTTCAGTTTAACAGCATTAAAAATATTTAACGCAATTAACGCAGGGGTGGAGCTAGGGTTGGCCACCCCACTCACAACTGCTGCTTCTGTTTATTTTTTTCTTGACGACGAACTGCGATTATGGTATATGACCACATCAAACAGGAGACACTTTAGACACGCAGTCCAACTTCACCTCAGCGCCAGGTGCTAATCAAACGAGCACAGAAAAGGTACAGGTGACGAGGGAGCTTCAGTAGAACAACAGTGAACTGTGGTCAGATGAGATGTTGTCAGGCCATATGTCAGTAAAAACCAATTCTACTGTCCTGTCAGCCGTTATACTGTGCTCGTAGCACGTGCTCTTCAATTGTACACAAATGCGGCGGCACGCGCTGTGTATCATTTCATATTAAAGCGCAAAAGAAACTACGAGCGTGCAATGTCATAGTTATGTCATCAATCATGAAGTTACCAAAAAGGTGATTTAAAGCTGCCTTAAAACTGTGCATATATGTAAGTATTTGTTATATATGAGTCACATTTAAGAACACGTCTCTGAAATGCAGTGCTTTTCCAAACTATCCTGGAGCACCCAGCACTGTCTCCCTGATCTAACACACCTGATTCAACTCATCAGCTCATTAATAGAGACTTTAAGACCTGAAGTGGGTCAGAAAAGGTGAAGAGTTGTGAGAAAATATGATGCTTGTCAGATTCGCGTCATGTTCAGCAGCGGCAGCTCTTAAAGCAGACAAAATAAGCTAATAACCAGCTGCTGTGATGTCTGTTAATCAAAGGACAAAAGAAAAAAGAGCTTTAAGGATTCATCTATTTAGTTTAGAATTTAGTGTTTGATAATTATTCTTTATTCAATTTCTGAATATTTCATACTTGCCGAAGGGCACAGACAGCTAAATATGACATTTATTATAATGGGTTTATGTGAAGATTGTTTTAAGTTCACTTAAATTAGAAGTTTTTTTTTAAAGTCTAATAAATTGACTCGAAAGATGATGTACACTTTTAGAAAACAATGGCTTTATAAAGGTAAGAATGCCCATAAAAGTTAAAAATCTATTTAAAAATATTGGAAAAGATTAATTTCTATCACTGCTGTGAACTGACCCGCACACAGAATATGAAGAATATCAAAAACTTTAGGAGTCAGCTGTCCACGGTAGTCCTTAAGATAATAGGACAATAACACACTCAGCAAAATATCATCTAATTATCTTTATCGATAAAATCACAGAAAATATTGAGATATTATTTTTTGTCAATATCGCACACCCCTAGTACTGACAAAATTATAATTTTTTTTGGCTAGTAGAATTTATGAATGGCCGGTAACTTAAATTTAGTAGCCAAATTGGCTGGTGAGTGAAAAAGTTAATTTCAATCCCTGTATATATATATATATATATGTATGTGTGCTTTAGTGCTGTCAAAATTAACCAGTTAACACATGCGGCATGCCATTCGTTTTTTTCAGTTTAACAGCATTAAAAATATTTAACGCAATTAACGCAGGGGTGGAGCTAGGGTTGGCCACCCCACTCACAACTGCTGCTTCTGTTTATTTTTTTCTTGACGACGAACTGCGATTATGGTATATGACCACATCAAACAGGAGACACTTTAGACACGCAGTCCAACTTCACCTCAGCGCCAGGTGCTAATCAAACGAGCACAGAAAAGGTACAGGTGACGAGGGAGCTTCAGTAGAACAACAGTGAACTGTGGTCAGATGAGATGTTGTCAGGCCATATGTCAGTAAAAACCAATTCTACTGTCCTGTCAGCCGTTATACTGTGCTCGTAGCACGTGCTCTTCAATTGTACACAAATGCGGCGGCACGCGCTGTGTATCATTTCATATTAAAGCGCAAAAGAAACTACGAGCGTGCAATGTCATAGTTATGTCATCAATCATGAAGTTACCAAAAAGGTGATTTAAAGCTGCCTTAAAACTGTGCATATATGTAAGTATTTGTTATATATGAGTCACATTTAAGAACACGTCTCTGAAATGCAGTTCTTTTCCAAACTATCCTGGAGCACCCAGCACTGTCTCCCTGATCTAACACACCTGATTCAACTCATCAGCTCATTAATAGAGACTTTAAGACCTGAAGTGGGTCAGAAAAGGTGAAGAGTTGTGAGAAAATATGATGCTTGTCAGATTCGCGTCATGTTCAGCAGCGGCAGCTCTTAAAGCAGACAAAATAAGCTAATAACCAGCTGCTGTGATGTCTGTTAATCAAAGGACAAAAGAAAAAAGAGCTTTAAGGATTCATCTATTTAGTTTAGAATTTAGTGTTTGATAATTATTCTTTATTCAATTTCTGAATATTTCATACTTGCCGAAGGGCACAGACAGCTAAATATGACATTTATTATAATGGGTTTATGTGAAGATTGTTTTAAGTTCACTTAAATTAGAAGTTTTTTTTTAAAGTCTAATAAATGTTAAAGTTGATAGCTCTCAATTATAGCTACGTTAGTCAATCGTTAAATATTAGTGGGGGAAAAAACTATTTCACTGAGACATCAGTAGTATTGACCAACACAGGCTTTAGTGTGCGTGCGCTTTTAGAGTGTGCTCTTTCACTGCATGATTCAGTCTATTAATATGCATTAACAATGATCACATACTTCAAGATAAGGAGGCAGAAAATGTATATATTTATATCAATTCATATAGTTAATCAATATCACACGAAGAGAAAAAATCAGCATGGTTATAAATGTGATATTTATTTTATACAACAGTTCAATAAACAATAAGTTAATATCAAGAGACTTACATTTTAAACACCATATTGGCTGTTTTTGCGCTATTTCTGTGCTATTTCGCCAACAAAAAACATTCCAAACACAGCCACAGTACTGTTTTGCTTCTCTGAGCAACATGACGTTGTTTTGTTTCTGAATGAATCAACCGTGTAAATGAATTCGGTTCAATCGCAATGACTCACTTAACAGTGACTTGCTGCCAGCTACTGGCGGTTTTAATTTCACATTTAATGTATCTTTTAATTTTTTTAATAATTTCACGTTTTAAATATCAAAACATTATTTATGCATTTGTAACTGCAGTTTAAAGCATTCCATGTCCCTCTAAACTGCATTAACGTGTAAACTTCATATGCAACTTCTGCAAAGATACATTTTATTGATACTGATTTAATTTGTTTAGTAACGGCCTAAATGTATTATTATTATTATAATTGACTGATTAAATGTAAGAATTTGACTCGAAAGATGATGTACACTTTTAGAAAACAATGGCTTTATAAAGGTAAGAATGCCCATAAAAGTTAAAAATCTATTTAAAAATATTGGAAAAGATTAATTTCTATCACTGCTGTGAACTGACCCGCACACAGAATATGAAGAATATCAAAAACTTTAGGAGTCAGCTGTCCACGGTAGTCCTTAAGATAATAGGACAATAACACACTCAGCAAAATATCATCTAATTATCTTTATCGATAAAATCACAGAAAATATTGAGATATTATTTTTTGTCAATATCGCACACCCCTAGTACTGACAAAATTATAATTTTTTTTGGCTAGTAGAATTTATGAATGGCCGGTAACTTAAATTTAGTAGCCAAATTGGCTGGTGAGTGAAAAAGTTAATTTCAATCCCTGTATATATATATATATATATGTATGTGTGCTTTAGTGCTGTCAAAATTAACCAGTTAACACATGCGGCATGCCATTCGTTTTTTTCAGTTTAACAGCATTAAAAATATTTAACGCAATTAACGCAGGGGTGGAGCTAGGGTTGGCCACCCCACTCTGCTTCTGTGCTTCTGTTTATTTTTTTCTTGACGACGAACTGCGATTATGGTATATGACCACATCAAACAGGAGACACTGCAGTCCAACAGTCCAACTTCACCTCAGCGCCAGGTGCTAATCAAACGAGCACAGAAAAGGTACAGGTGACGAGGGAGCTTCAGTAGAACAACAGTGAACTGTGGTCAGATGAGATGTTGTCAGGCCATATGTCAGTAAAAACCAATTCTACTGTCCTGTCAGCCGTTATACTGTGCTCGTAGCACGTGCTCTTCAATTGTACACAAATGCGGCGGCACGCGCTGTGTATCATTTCATATTAAAGCGCAAAAGAAACTACGAGCGTGCAATGTCATAGTTATGTCATCAATCATGAAGTTACCAAAAAGGTGATTTAAAGCTGCCTTAAAACTGTGCATATATGTAAGTATTTGTTATATATGAGTCACATTTAAGAACACGTCTCTGAAATGCAGTGCTTTTCCAAACTATCCTGGAGCACCCAGCACTGTCTCCCTGATCTAACACACCTGATTCAACTCATCAGCTCATTAATAGAGACTTTAAGACCTGAAGTGGGTCAGAAAAGGTGAAGAGTTGTGAGAAAATATGATGCTTGTCAGATTCGCGTCATGTTCAGCAGCGGCAGCTCTTAAAGCAGACAAAATAAGCTAATAACCAGCTGCTGTGAAGTCTGTTAATCAAAGGACAAAAGAAAAAAGAGCTTTAAGGATTCATCTATTTAGTTTAGAATTTAGTGTTTGATAATTATTCTTTATTCAATTTCTGAATATTTCATACTTGCCGAAGGGCACAGACAGCTAAATATGACATTTATTATAATGGGTTTATGTGAAGATTGTTTTAAGTTCACTTAAATTAGAAGTTTTTTTTTAAAGTCTAATAAATGTTAAAGTTGATAGCTCTCAATTATAGCTACGTTAGTCAATCGTTAAATATTAGTGGGGGAAAAAACTATTTCACTGAGACATCAGTAGTATTTAGTCATAAAAAAGGTGCCATTAAAAATATACTGTCTTTGTTTCTAATTTGAAGATTGAATGTGAAATTATTTCAATATAAAAGTATATTTAAAAACTTTGTTAGGTGGGCTCGTGATTGATTTCAGAAAAAAATTGCGATTTAATTCTGTAATTTTTTTTTTAATCGATTGACAGCACTTTTTTTTTTACCAAATATGTTCAATCCATGAGCTGAGCTGTGTGAGTCAAATAGCCTCGTGTTTTTGTCAGGGTTTGGAGGGGAAACTTTCATTTCTGGAGAAGACCCTAGCAGAGCTGAAAGCTGAGGGCAAGACAGCCAGTTCCACCCTCAAAAAAGTAATCACTGTCCTGTGTGCTGAGGAGGTGAGTTCTATTATCCTCATAAATACCCATGAGTATATTTAGTGTTCTGGACTTAATGGTTTTTATTATGCATCTTATTTTAAACCCAAGGGTGGGTTCGGCCATTTTTAACTTGAATGTGCAAGACTTCCTGTGTCAGCCGTTGCTAGTTATTTTAGCTGTTCAAAATAGTCTGTTGATGTTGCAAACTGGTAAATTGTAGTGCAAATGGTTTTACAGTTTACTGCACTTTATTCTTCTAGTTTGTTATCTGTAGTAGCAAATGAATTTCAAGTCCCACACATTTGCAGGAAATAGCTTGCTTCCATGTTGTAAAATATGGTGGATGTTGGTCTGTCACTAGTCACCATTCAAAACCAGTCGTCAGTATTTGTGTATCGATGTGTGTAGTTGAACTTTGTCTGTCTCATCAGAAACTAGAACGAGCTCTGGAGCTTAAAATTCTTTATGAAGCGGATATGACTCCTGCTGCATATGCCATGCTCATCAACCTGTGCTGTCGGCATGACAATGCTGAGGAAGCCCTCAAGCTAAAGATGGAATTGTAAGTTTGATGTACACATCATCACCGTCATACAAACATCCTTGTTTCGATTGTCGAGCAAAAGCAACATAAATGTAGTCCATACATGTTCCACATCTTCTGATGACGTGTGCAATATTTACAAAAAAGATGATGGTAATTTTGTTTTACAATGACTTTAACCACTGCAACTGGATGAAGTTAGTTGAACTTGAGAACCGAATCAGTCAATTTGTACTGTTCTAAACAAATCATTCAGACCAGTTTTGTGAACCAAATCAACCAATTCATCAAGATCTGGCTTCATAGAACGATTTATTCACATTAGGGCTGTCAAATTGATTAATCGTCATTAATCGCATCCAAAATAAAAGTTTGTGTTTATATGCTTGTGTACTGTGTATATTTTTATGTATATAAAAATACACACTTACATTTATAGCAAATAAATTCTTTAAAAATCCTACAATGTGATTTTCTGGATTTTTTTTTCTCATTTTGTCTCTCATAGTTGAGGTATATCTATGATGAAAATTACAGGCCTCTCTCATCTTTTTAAGTGGGAGAACTTGCACAATTGGTGGCTGACTAAATACTTTTTTTCCTCACTGTATGTGTATATATATATATATATATGAGCAATATCACGCGTGTAGCTGTGTGATATGGCTGTATATCGGCACGGCTATGATTCAGCCGAGGGAACGTTTCTTCATTGAAAACTTATTGTATTACGGTTTTAAAAGCTCACTGTATTATGTGGAGTCGAGTATTATGAGAGAGAGATGGACTGAGCGAATGTGATTATCTGCATCTGATACAGCAGTCATTCTTCAGCTCTATCTCATATTCACAATAAAAAATTAGTTTGAATGTCTGCTGAGGAAAGCCATGTCTTTGTTGTACTGTCCTTTTGTCTCTTAAGGGTGATTTCAGATGACAGCGCCAAAGTATCAAAGCACAATGCTTATTGCGATTATATTGGTTGGGAAGTGCCCTTCAATGTTCCGTCCATTAAAGGCACAATATGTACAATTTTCTTTATATTATATTTTTGGATATTATCCAAAAACCACTAGAACAGTGTTATATATTTTGCTGTCTTGTGTACTTACATTATCCCAAATGTTTCGAAGTATGTTTAAATCCAGAGAAATAAGCAATTTTAACTAGTGACACGGAGCGTGTCCATAGTGTCATTGTGTCGCCTGCCAATGACGTCATACACCCTCGATTTCCGGTTTGTTTTGTAGAAAACATGATGACAGAACTTTCAAATGTATCTAGTATGATAAAACAGCGCTGTTTCCCCCCCCCACATACGCACGACCGGAAGGAGCAGAAGCGGTCGACTGTGGCATAATAAAAGCTCCGCTGCTTTCGAGCCATGTGTCACGTTCATTCAGTGGCCTCGTTTCGCTTCGACGGCTTTCAGCCTCACCCTGCTTCATTCTACTACATTAAGAAATCATTAGCTCATCCATGAACATGATTTCTGCCCGAGTCCCATCGGATTGCATCGGCTGTGGGACAACAACTCCCATGATTCCACACTCAGTCACGGCATCATCAAACTACGCTTTTGTCTCTTTGTTTATGTTGAATATGCGCCATCTAGCGGCGAAAATTATATATTGTGCCTTTAACTGAAAACAGGCTAGACCAGGGGTGCCCAAACTCGGTCCTGGAGGGCCAGTGTCCTGCAGAGTTTAGCTCCAACCCCAATTAAACACACCTGAACCAGCTAATCAAGCTCTTATAGGCATACTAGAAACTTACCAGCAGGTGTGTTTAGGCAAGTTGGAGCTAAACTCTGCAGGACACCGGCCCTCCAGGACTGAGTTTGGGCACCCCTGGGCTAGACTAATCGATTCTTGGCATTTAAGAATCGATATCGTTCCGTAAAAATGAGAATCGATTAATATCGAGATATCGATATTTTTTTTACCCAGCCTTACTGCTGACTGCAGTCTCTTGCCGACATCTAATGGTGGAATAATGTAACTAATCACCATCACGAACACACACCATTTCTCAATATTAAATACTACTATTATTTATATGAAATATTATTTGTTGAATAATAATATTTAATAACAACAACAACAGCCATCATAAATGTTGCTAGGCAATTCAGTCAAAAGTACAAAGTATCTTTATTAACAAACCACATATATGAAGTCTAAACAAGTACATTCTCACCTAAAAAAACCTCTTAAAACTACATTCCATGATGCAAAAACAGTATTATATATTAAATTATAGTGGATTTGGGCATCCACCATGACATTCGCTGTGAAATGGTTGAAGGTCCGATATCACTTGAATATCACACTCCTCTCAGTCAATCAGATTCGAGAACCAGGAAGAACTGTTGTATAAAAATATATATTATATGTAATTCTTAAATATATACATGTATGTGCGTGTGTTTTTATATACATATACACAATATATTATGTAAACACATACTTTTATTTTGGATGCGATTAATCGATTTGACAGCCCTAGTTCACATCTATACTTCTCTTACGAGTGCTCATTAACATGCGAGAGTGAAGTAGAGTAAATGTCAAAATGATCAGTGAATAATGACTAATTTTGTTTGTTTTTTGGTCAGACAATCACTATCCTATGCGAGTCATATGAACCACATTTGTGGTGCGCTTTGGTCATTTTGGAGCTAGACAGTCTTAGTATTTAAAGTGGCTAGGATATTTGTAAAAAAAAATATATATATATCACATTTTCACAAATGAAATGAATTCAGAAGGATTTGTAACAACATGAGAACTGTTGTATAAAAATATATATTATATGTAATTCTTAAATATATACATGTATGTGCGTGTGTTTTTATATACATATACACAATATATTATGTAAACACATACTTTTATTTTGGATGCGATTAATCGATTTGACAGCCCTAGTTCACATCTATACTTCTCTTACGAGTGCTCATTAACATGCGAGAGTGAAGTAGAGTAAATGTCAAAATGATCAGTGAATAATGACTAATTTTGTTTGTTTTTTGGTCAGACAATCACTATCCTATGCGAGTCATATGAACCACATTTGTGGTGCGCTTTGGTCATTTTGGAGCTAGACAGTCTTAGTATTTAAAGTGGCTAGGATATTTGTAAAAAAAAAAATATATATATATCACATTTTCACAAATGAAATGAATTCAGAAGGATTTGTAACAACATTAGGGGGTAAGCAGATAATGACAGTTTAATTTTCAAGTGAACTATCCCTTTAAATCTGAAACATTCACAGCACAAAGAATGTGATTTAAAAATTAATTTGTCAGCCTGTGTTTACTCTTTCTTCTTTGGCGTGTCAGGGCTCGCAAGGACTCTGAAGTAGCGCTGGATGCTCAGAAGTATGTGGCCTTGGTCCGAGTGCTATCCAAACATGGCAAGCTGGAAGGTTAGTGGCCGTATCTGTGCACATGTGAAAGCTTCAGGCCCTGCTGAAATAATTACAGATGCCCTCTTATTTTCACCATCCCAGATTAATGAAATAATTTAGTTTAGTTTGTCACAAATAATGTGGGCCATCACATTAGGTGTGCCTTGCCTTACTTTTTAAACCACTTGGGACGTCAATGAGCATTTTGTATTACTTATCACGGCACTATCAAAAGGTGGCCACATGCTTAATTAGTTTCTTAAAGTCGGTTCAGCGTGTGCGGCCATGCGAGCATGTCTACGTGTGAGAGTGAGGTCCGAGACACCTGTCTATGTGCAATGGGACATTAATCAGCCATTATCTGAATTCCACGGTGGATTTCTCCATGCTCATGTAAGACGCAATTACAATAAAAGTGTTTCCTCTTTGCATTGTGCACACAGTGATGGTGAAAATACACGCTCCGTCTCTCTTTTCACGATGCGTGTCACTCTTTGGCTGCCCCCTCCCTCTCGCTCGGACTCATCCTGTCACCGAGCGAGGGAAAATTACAGGACCGGCTGCAATTTAGCAGAATTACTGAAATCCGTCCTGATACTAATGGCATATCATGGTGGGGAAAGTGCTTGAGTATTTCACACGCACATTTGCATGTGAATTCAGGCGAAAGTGTGTGATGAGGGAAGTGTGTGTGTATGTATATGTGTGTCCATCAGAGCGAGTTGGTGGCCATTATCCCGCGGGTGTGCGCTTGGAGCTTGTCATTCACAATAACACACCTCAGCGCCCCAGCCTGCCCGCATCACCGCCGCAACCCGATCCGCTCGAAGATCATGACTCGTGGCACCTTAGCGCACCAGATGGCCTGGCTTTTAATGGCCTTGTTTTTGTTTGAAACCCTTTCCTCGCCTCTTGTTCCTTCCTCCGTCTGTTATTTTTTCCCCTTGTGTCCTTACATTTGATACGGAGTTCGTAAAATGCCATTGCCGATTCACAGGCTGGCAGAAGGCCGTGGAATGAGCTGGAGGATTAATGGGCTGTGTGATATTTGTTTACCTCAGTGTGTGTGGTATCAGACAGTGGGCCGGGATGCTTCACCGCTAGCCGTCCATTCAGGCCCATTTACTACCAGCAGCTGATTGGGTGTGATTAGTGGTTCTGTCAGAAGGGAAGAATTTGAGCTGTCTGCCGTCACAGAGCTTTCTCATATGGCTGAAGTTCAGCTTGGTTGCTGTTTGTGGTCCAGCGATGTGTGAACCGTGCTCCGTATGACCAGTGAGTGGTCTGAGGGGCTTCATTTGGGACTCTGAAGTCTGTCTTGCTCTTTCATCCGTAACCTGAGGACACGCTCATCAGGAAGTTCTAGTATTGTGCAAAAGTTGACACACCTCAGAGTCATGGCCTAGTGCATGTGCGCTGACACCATTGAGCTGTGACATTTCCGACCTATTTTGCTCATAATTTTTATACTATTTCTTAGGGTGTATTCTAAACCCTACACATCTTTATGACTTCTAAAATGGCGTAAGTGACGCAGAGTTAATGTAAGAGTTGATTTCTCTACAGAGAAAGTCAATAGGAGATCCAAGCATGTGGTTTTTTTTTTGGCAAGTGCTTGCACTTAGGTACATTAAAGCAAATGCGGCCCTTTCTGCATGAATTTCATCCAGCTTTAGCACATAACCTCCTTTTATATTGCTGAAGTGTTGTACTACATCAATGTGCTCTGTACAACAATGCTTGTAAAGCCCTGGGCCATAAGAAAAGTACATGGTTGAGTGCCTAAAGCAACAGCCTAAGAATGAAGAGGTTGTTAGTTCTAATCCCCTCGTGGGTATCGCTGTCACGGCGCCCTCCGGCGATCCACTTAACCTCCATTGCTTCAATTCATATCCAGCTGTTAACACATAACATGTGGCACTTTTTAGACAAGAGCTCTTCTTAAATGACAAGCCTCTATTTAAATGGGCTGACTGCTGGGATCTTGATAAAACAATCCACAAAAATTAAAAAAGCAGTAAAGGATGAGATCTGTGCCCAAATAACAGCATGACTGAGTAGATAAGTGAACAGGGCTTTATCATACAAAAGCAGCCTCTTAAAAACTCAGCATGACCCTGCTGAACCTCCTGTTCCCTGCTTCACTGTTCCTTTTGGCTCATCACTTTTCCTGACAGTACGGAGCGCTGCGCTGGATTTGCATAACAACAGGACAAAAATTGCAGGGTGATGAAGTGACAGATTGGAATTTGTGGGCTAAAACAAGCTGGCTGTCTCTGTTTGAGTGTATGTGCGTGTGTGTGGAGACTGAAGTGAACTGTGTTGCTGTAGGTCGGCCTACATTGTATATTTCCAAACGCATACTGTTACTCTCCATACTTGAGGTCCTTGTTATCGTCAAACACTGTAGGGATACTTGTTGGGTAAAGGTGAGGGATTTTTTTCCTACTGAAATTGACAGTTTAATATGCAACTATAAGTGGGTATTTGTAGGTTGATTTATACAAAAATACAATAACATTGTCAAATATTACAATTTAAAATAAATGTTATTTCGGTGATGCAAAGCTGAAGATTCAGCATCATTACTTCAGTCTTCAGTGTCACATGATCTTTCAGAAATCATTCTAATATGCTGATTTGTTGCTTAAGAAACATTTCTTATTATTATCATTGTTGAAAACAGTTGTGCTGTTTAATGTTGTGTAATGATTAATAGGAAGTCTTGATTAATAGAACTAGGAGAAAACAGCATTTATTTGAAATAGAAATCTTTTGTAATATTATTAATGTCTTTACTGTCACTTTTGATCAATTTAATGCATCCTTGCTTAATAAAAGTATAAATTTATTTAAAAAACATCTTGCAAATGGGCAGTGCTTAAAACATTTGTATGAATTAGTAAATATAATTGCAATTCTGTTTGGTGATGCTATAGAAATTACACATTTCACCCTCAAAAGGGATTTGTTTGTTTTTAATCATTATTTTTAATTTAAAATATGTTCTGCGTATTAAATTTTAAAAATATTCAAAATAAAAAAAATATTCTGCATATTTATTTTATTAATATTTATTTTATAAATTGACTTATTTTTTTCCCTTCAGTGATATTATAGTGACATTTGTGTACCCATATGTTCTTGCATAATTGTGAAAGTTCTAAACAACCTTGACAGTTTATAGAAACAAAAAATAAATGTTCAAATTAAACTATGATATAATTCATACTTTCCAGGGAAAGTGTAAATACTTTTGTGTTATCAAAACATTGCTTTTTAAGTATCCTGAAACAGCAATAATTACTCAAGCAATAAAGTTTTGGGTGGGACTGTTTATCAACCAATGGAAGACAATAAGTGTTCAAGAAATGGTAATTTTTGCAATTTGCTAATGGCACGAAAACTAGCACTTTATCTACTTTACCTAAGCGCTATGAAGAAATGGAGATGAACAGCAGTACTGCTGTGAGTCATGGGAATTTGGGAGTTTGCCTGACTGCCTGTGGCCAGCGCTGACTCCCACATGCACACAGCTGTGATGATGGCATCCTCATTCTCTCTCTCTGTGTCGCTCTCTCTCGGTTCTAGATGATTAGTATCGCCAGTGCAAACAGGCCCTATCGGTATCAGCCCATTAGCTAGCCTCTAAACAGCACGTAAACACATCTTAATTATCTGGCTTGGTGACAGAGCAGCTGTGGAGGTGGACCCTCTCCCCTCTGCCAGATGGGAGCATCGCCCAGTAAAAAGCCTCCATTACGGTAGCAAAGCGGCGCCATATCCACGACCAGAGCCCGCCGAGTTCACGACGGGCACTCGCCGCACACCTATAATTTCCTGGCATGCTTTCGCAGGGAACCGTGAAAAAAAAAAAAAAAGCCCCACTATTGTGGGGGCCTCCGTAATTGTAGTCTCGTTTAGAAATGCAAGTAGTAATTAGCGGCGAATTGGCATTATACGGCAGCATTTGCATCCCCGCTGGGTGTAAAATGTTGTTTTAATAGCGGTTTGTTTTCCCCACATGAAATTATCTAAGGGGGTTTTTAATCACCTCTTCCCCTCTCTCGCTCTTTCTCTCGCATTCTCTCATCTGGCGCCGACCCATCGGGGAACAGCTAAGCGTACAGATATACAAATAATCTCAAGTCTGTGGATCAGTCAACGAGTCGGTTAAACCTTTGTATGCACTTGCGATTTATGAAACTGCGCCCTGGGTACCAAGTAACCATACATTTGTTGCATACCATGTAACTAGTTGCATGTAGAGGGTTCAAGCATTAAATTGTAAAATGTTATTCTTTTAAAATCGATTAGGATTGTCAACCCACTCCAAAAAGTTGTTGAATCTACATAATTGAGTTGACTGTTATCCAACAGTAGGTTGTTGGATAACTAGTCAAAATGTCTTACCACCTCTAGGCCATTATTGATATTTTGGCTCATCTATATTTCTCTTTCTCTCATTCTGATGTCATGCAGAGGCGATCGATATGCTGAAAGAGATGAAGGAGAAGGATGTGCAGTTAAGGGACAGCACAATCAGTTTGCTCACCCTCACGATGAATACCGCTGCGATGAAAGGAGATGCCAACAGTATTCGACGCCTCCAGGAGACGATCTTCACTTTGGGCCTGGCCAAACCATCCAGTAACCTCTGCTCACCCCTCATCACTTGCTATCTGGAGAGGTGAGTTGGTAAAACTTTGGAAAGTTGCTCAACTTTTCGCTGTTCCTCTCTGTGTGTAGCACCTACTACTCTGCACACCCTTCTGAAGGATCCCAGCTTTAGAGAAGAATGCCTGACATTTATTTTTAACAGTTTTGCCGTTGGCGCTACACTATTATTTTTAACCTGTAAATATGTGCTGTAATTCATTTCACATGCAAAGAGTTAATTTACACAGAAGCCATAATGAAAAAGTGCCAGACAGAGGGTGGAAAGTGATTGTGTACAGTATAACTTAATTACGACTGTTTTGGTGCAAGAAACCTTAACTAGCATTATAAGAGGACTTCAGCCAAAAAAAAAATTATGGGGTGACCCCATCAAGTAGTGAGTTTGGAAACAACATGAATATAATCTGAAAACAAACATTAATAACAATGTCAGATTGTAAAGCAGATTGTAAAGGGCAGAGTTCCACTCTTCCCTAAGCTTGTTGTCTCACTGTTCATTTCATATAATCTGTCATTACCTTATAGCAAAATGCAGCATGGTGGGAAAAGGAATTAACTTCCACAAGTTCGGCCCCTCTTTCCCGCCCCCCCATCCGTTCAGGTCTATTTGTAAGAGCGGCTTTTAAGCAGATCAACTAATTTGCATGTTAATTATGCACCCTGTGCTAATTACTGGATTTGCCTGGGCCATGCGGTGCACTGCGTAAGTGCCTTTCCCCCTCCCCGCTGTGGGATATTGAGTTTGGCACTACACCTTCACTGATAGCGCTAGTGTCAACACACACATACACATACGGGCTTCCTGGGTGCCCCTCCGAGACTGTTTGTTTTTCTGTCACTCGAGTGCCACAACCACACTGGCACGTGCAAGCCTTAATTGCTGCCTTGTGTGCGATAAGGTTTCCAATTTAGCTCAGGTTCATTAAGGAGCAGATACGGAGAGATCAGAGCGACTCTCAGCAGAGAGACTGATAAACCGTGAACGTTTACATCACACCACATACACACACACGCGCACTGTGACTGGCAGCCACACATTCCAGTGGAGGAGAGCCTCAAAGCTCACAGCAGCCAGCCCTGCTTGGATACTTTTTTTTTCTGTGACTTTTAAGGGAAAAAATTCCATATTTTTCATGCTTGTGAAGTGGAAAGTGGTTGAATTCTACAGAATGGATGTAAACATGGTGAAATGTTACTCTGTGTCCATTGGTAGCTGAAAGCGAAGTTTAGTGAAAGTGAAATTAGCTCATATACAGTTAACATGCAGTTTATTTATTATTAATTCTTTTTTAATTTGACCAATTTAATGTAATTTTGTTATTATTGTCAGTTTTCCTTTTAGTTTAAGTACTTTTGTGCTTTTGTTAGTTATTTTTTATTTATTTTAAAATATTTCTATTGAGGTTAATACATTATTTCAACATTTCTAATGTTATCTATTAAAGTTGTTTTCTGATCTTTGTATTTTGTAATTTTATTTTATTGTCATTACCAAAAAAAAATTGTTTTAGTGTGAACTTTTCGTTTACTTTTAACAGTAACATTACTAGACTGTATTCATTATATTTTGAATAACTCTTGGCAGATAAACATTAGATATACATTAATACTAATTTAGCACTTTTGGAGTTTGACTTGGAAGCAAAACTTTAAAGTGATTTATTTTTTGTTATTAATTAGTTTTTATATTCTCTGTGTTGTAATATAAACTCTGTTGTTGTTTGTTGTTTAAGACTACGTATTAAAGTTAGTTCGCAGTTAAAGGTTTTTTTTTGTTTTTGTTTAGTATTATTGTCAGTAATTTTGTACTTGGATGTAGTCATGAGATATTCGTAAGGGATATTACTATTAAACTTCGTTGGTTTTACCCAAAGCAGCAAAAAGTTGAAACAGGAGTTGTGATGCACATTTGTTATGCGTACACACACCATCGATACACCATAAAATCAACCCACATATGGTGATGATTTGTCCAATGCGGCCTTCTACCTTAAATGAGTTTGGCACCCCTGCTGTGGACGACTCTTTATCTTCTCCATCCATCTCTCTGCACTCGTCTCTGTCTCCTCTTTGGTCTGGGCTGCGCTAAAGAGGACAAAGCGGTGTGTGTCTCGTCAGCATGTCAACTGTAATGACTTAATGAACACTTCTCTATGGGATTAACTCTGACAGCCGTCAGCCTGTCTCCACGACAACAGCAGCCGCCGCTCCCGATACGTATCCTTAGGCTCTAATGAGCCTAACAAAGGGAATTGCCAGAACTTTTTTGTGGAAGGGATTTTTTGAGGGACAGGAGCTCTGAAAAGAGGGAGGGGATGTCGCAGGCTGTCAGATGTTTGTTTTAATCTGCATCACTTGCATATATAGTGAGGAAGGACGGTTTCTGGAAAGTTTAAATCGGGACCATTTACATTTAAAAATCATTGCCACATTTGTAGTTTTGTGTTTGATAGATGTGTTCGATTCCAAGTCAAACCATTGAGCATTAACCCTGCCTAACTACCAACACACACACACACACACACTTCAAAGTAAAGGGGAAAAGAAATAAAAAAAGCAGTCATTCTCTTTTAAAAGTGGAAAGGGTGATAACATGGGTGCCAATCTCGGTAACAAAAGAGATGGGAGTCAGGGATGTAGGGAGAGTGTCACAAGAAGAGGAGGTTCAGAAGAGGGGTGGATGAAATTAGCTTTCTTGTCTAATCCTTCAGGTTCCTCGCGCAAAGCACTCACATTCGCTTTTTTATTCTCCTTCAACTTAATTGGCTGGAAAGTGCTTGACATGCAAAGTTAGTGACATTAAGAGGAACATGTTGCAGTAAGCCTGAGCGCCACTGACAGCTAAATTGTATCCGGGGAAATTATGAATCCTTCAACATGGTTAATTTTTTTGGGGGGGGGTCGTGTGGTTGAATTGGCTCTTGACTCCCGCTTGATGAATAATATTGTCGCTCTTCATTTCAATTAAGTGCGATTGCCTAAGAGCTGGCGTCATGTTCCGGCTCAATCACTGCCCTGTTTTTTGTCCATCTCCCCCACGCCTACCTCCCATTCAACCCACCTTCCAAGGTCAGCACATATACCTTCTCTGACTGTATGATCTCTGAGGTTGAAAACACTGCTGAGATTACACCTGTTAAAACCCCACCGGTTCACTTTCCCTCCACACCCGCCCCTCCTGCCGGTGCCCTATCTGCTTTGACCTCTGTGTGATTGACGTGGTAATTACCCAATCACTCGATGGCTGCCACTGCAGTCACAATAGAGTGATTGGAGTGGTGTTTTTCTCGTCTATTCCTTTGCTTTATTCCTCTGTCAGGCCTCTGTCAGCTCTTTGTTAGAAAGGGGTAAAGAGAGGGAAGATGATGCGAGAGAGGGGTGAGAGCAGATCTAATTTTGTTGCCATATTCTGCCAAGCGGCCCGGTTGGGGGTGAGGGCACTGGATGCTTTAGAGGAAGGCGGGAGCCACAGGAAGTTGCAAGAAGCTAAAGACCTTTGTTGCACATGGCCATGAAGTGTTTATTTAGAAATGTGTATATATATATATATTTTATTTAATGCATTTTTTATTTTGTATATTTATTTAAATGTTCTTTTAGTTTCTTAATTATGCATGGTTGTTTTAAAAATTATTTGTGATCTTTTATTTTAAAAAGTAATTTTATTGTTTTAAAAAACTACTTACAACTTGACATTTAAGAACTACAAAGTAGTTTGTGACCAGTGCTTAAATTATTGTGCTTAAGACAGTGACCATTTAACTTTCTTTTTTTCAATGTTTAGTGTACAAAATTGTACAAGAGTGAAAAATTTAAGGGGGTCTGAATACTTTCCGTACCCACTGTATATATATTTTTTTTATTAAATTTTTTTTTTCAAATTTACTATGAAAATGTAATTTGAAAGGGCAATTTGGTGTTAAATAAAGAAACTAAAATTTTCCATTAAGAACAATAAAGTAGTTTGTGACAAGTGCCGTTTCTTTTAAATGTTTGTGCTTAAGACAATGTGACCATTTCACTTTATATGCATTTTTTTAAATATTTAATTCATTTTTTTTGTGCGTTTAAATGTCCATTTAGTTTCTTTTAAAATATGCATGGTTCTTTTCAACATGGTTACTTTCTTTTTGATATTTTAATTGTAAAGGGTAGTTTAAATAGTATTTTAAAAAGTAATATAACTTGTTAAGATCAACAACAAAGTTTCAAACTTTCAGCCTGTTTTGTAATGAAACACTGAACCATGATAATACCGCTATAAAAGCTTCAGCAATAATCACAACATGAATATACTGGCACATGTGTAGTGCTGGTTTGGTGTAATATGTCATGTTTTTCTGCAGTGGGAACTATGCAGGTGCATTCGATGCCACTGTGGAGGTCCATAAACAATACAACCAGATGCCCAAAATCCACGACCTCATCTGCGGCCTGGTGGAAAAAGGAGATGCTGAGCTATTACAGAAAGGTGTGTAACGCCCACACACACACACACACACGTACAGCACATTAATTACATTTCTGTGTGTCACTTGTTACAAGTCACAAGTAGTTTGTCTGCATGTTCTGATCTGCTGTCTGTTGAGATGGTCATACAGTGGGGCCCCCCACTGTATGTAGAATGTGTGTGTTCTGTGTTTTCAAGAGTGCCACCCACTAAAGGGCAGGTTGGACAACCTAGATGATGGTGGTTTCAATAGTCTCTGTCTTTGTCAGGGTTAGTGAAGGGGTTAAGTGTGCTGTGTGTTGGGGGTGAGTGGATTTGAAGTGTCAAGGCAGTGAGACCTCTATGGTGGAGGGCCACTTTACGGCCCCGATGACCCGGCACTCTGAGAGACATGCTGCATGTGCCACGGAAAACCCATTGACCACATTTTTGATGACATTTACTCTGCATGAGATTTATAGAATAGCTTTTAAGAAAGAGACCATGTACACAGAGTACGCGAATGTGACTGTTTCTTCACTCTCTTATCTCTGTTTCATTTAACAGTCGTGGAGTTTTTGAGTCAGGAGCGAGGCGAGATGATGATGCTCTACGACCTTTACTTTGCGTTCCTGCAAACGGGCCGCTACAAGGAGGCACGCAAAATCATCGAGGTGGGACTGCTGTTATTGTGTTCAATCCACACAGCTAATTTAACAGCTGTAATTACGGCCACACTGATATTTCCACTTTTAAATTAGATAGCCTCCAAAGCCACACTAATGCCATTCATGCAAGACAATAGGTACAAGGAGTTTTCAAAGGATGAGAGAGTGTGTGTGAGTGTGAAGGAGAAAATCACGACTACAAAGACCACTCGTTTTTGAAACAAAGCTTACTGGAAAAATTGAAGTATTGTGATATTGTTTGTCACTATATTGAATCAATGCACTCATTCCAATTGCTATTATTATTCATTGTCATTACAAGGCTTTGGCTTGATAAAACCATTTTCATTTGAAACAGAAAATGATGACCAAAGTTAACACGAAAGTAAGATGAGCAGAACTTAATGCCTCTTCCATATTCATTTTATATATTTTTTTTAATGAATTGATTTTAGTGTAGTTAGTAAATGTGTAGTTTAAGTTTTATTTTTGTAAATGTGTAATTTGTATATTTTTCTCACACATACATGTTTTTAGGAAATATATTAATATAGAGATAGGAATATCATCGTGGCTATATGAATTATAGTTACAGGTATTTATACAATATTTTACCAAGCTAGACTACCAAATATTAAATCTAAAAAATAATATTTCCTAAAATATTGTCAACTGTTTTTAGGATTTGTTTATATAAATATTTTTTAATATGTTTTGCTTTTGCATCATCATTTTTATTTTGGTTATAGTATTTGTTTTGAAGTTTCAATTTTAATGGGAGGGGAAAAATGAAAAAATATAAAATGCCTACAGTGTTTTTCCCTGTAACTGTATACATATGCATACGTTTCAAGAAATATTATATTTTATTTACAGACTAATTTTGCAATAATGGAAAATTAAAAATGGAAAATAATGGAATATGTGGCAAAACATTATACTAATTGGATTGTAAATTTCAACCAGTTATTTTTGATATTACCAAGAAGACTATCACAAGTAGTTCTTGCAATCAAAACTGAATCTGTGCCAGACAGCTAGATCATTTTATTACAGATTTAAAAATGTGAAGTCTTGAAAGGCAAAAAGTTCTAGCGCTCTCACACTGTCCACAGGCCAGCGGTCTTTCTTTATTGAATGAGAAGAGCATCTGCTCAAAGTAGAACTGGCAGTAGAACTTCTCATCTCGTCTCGGTACTGTGAAGTTTTCAGACACATTTCAGATGGATTTTCGATGCATGTGTAGACGTCTTTAACTGTCTGGAGAGACTGAGTATGTCTCTGTTCTCACATCAGGCCCTTCAGTGAGCGCTCTGTCCGGGAAGTAACTGATTTTGAGATGCTTGACGTGTTTTGAGCGCTTCGTCCAGAATGGGTCTTTCGGGGATACCTTTAGGCTGTGTTCTGTCTTGTTCTTTCAGAAGGCAGCATCTCACGAGTCTACACTTCCACTGAGAAACAGCTCTGACAAAGCCATTTAGATGTTCAATTAGCCAGCTGCTCTAATACGACACCACTCAACTCCCTCAGTGCTGCCATGTGGGAGTACGGCGAAATGTCAGCGCCAGTCAAGCCACTTCTATCATGCATAGGCTTTGTCTGAGGTTGTTTTACCTTTCTGTGCAGTTTTATGTTTCCAAGCTTCTGCAGCTTTCTCTTTTTTAAATTTTTTTATTGTCTTTGCGTTTTCCTCCACAAAGCCTCATCTCTGCCAATTCTGTTGTATCGTTGTCAGTATGGATGAAAATAATCCTAAGCTTGGATATTACAGATCCATCAGTCAGGGGCTTTTAACCAAGAAAATATCCAGTGTCCGCAGATCTAGAGCATGCCATTTGGCTCCATTTTTCATATATACACCAGATCATAGCAATTCCTCTGGGACAGTACTTTAGCCGATAAGCTATCAATGGTCACCTCAGGATACCGCAATCTCAAGCAGCTTTGACTTTCATTGTTTTGAGAGGGCAATTTGGGATGCAAGTTACAATCCCTCTTAAAGCATTTGCTTGATTTTTCTAAAACGTACTAATCCTCTACTGCTCTCATACCATCTTAGGACATCCTCCAGTGTCATACGAGTTTAAAATCATTCATGTCGCATGACTAATACACAGTATAGTTTAGATGTCTGTTAGATTTGTGAGTTACCTCATAGGTAACCATTGTCTATTGTTTTGAACCAATACACATATTCAAAGACAGGTCACTTTCATTATGGGCAATACTAATATTTATTCATGTTGTTAACTGTACTGATTTGTAGAATTGATAAACCAGTGTATTGTCCAGGTGACACTTTAGCTGCTATTTGGAAGTGTTATTTTGGTATTTATATACAGTACAGCTATAGTTTCTATTAATATTTTGAATTTGCAGTATTTTTTTTATTTTCAATTTTCATTTGAGTTTTTTGGGTTTATGTGTATTTTGGCATTTCAACAAACATTTCGAATTTTCATTGCCGTTTTTTATTTTACCATTGTCTATTGTTTTGAACCAATACACATATTCAAAGACAGGTCACTTTCATTATGGGCAATACTAATATTTATTCATGTTGTTAACTGTACTGATTTGTAGAATTGATAAACCAGTGTATTGTCCAGGTGACACTTTAGCTGCTATTTGGAAGTGTTATTTTGGTATTTATATACAGTACAGCTATAGTTTCTATTAATATTTTGAATTTGCAGTATTTTTTTATTTTAAATTTTCATTTGAGTTTTTTGGGTTTATGTGTATTTTGGCATTTCAACAAACATTTCGAATTTTCATTGCCTTTTTTTATTTAATATTTGTATTTTATTTAATTTTTTTCAGCTTTATTTCAGTTATCAAAAACAACAATTAATCTTTTTAGTTTACAATAGCAACACTGGTATTTGGTCATTTTGACATTGACATCAATTCATAACCATTGTGGCTTGGCATTTCTTCCATGCATATGTTATTTTATTTTTTTAATCATCTGTGAAAAGATGACTTGTAACTCATTGCTTGTCAGCAGCTTAGTTTCTATTACTGAATGCCAGCCTCATGCAACTATATTAAACAAAGTATTTTCTCTGATTGACTGCTAGTGTGCCACGTCTTGCAGTATTACGAGAAAATGATTAGGCACTGCTGGAAATGTATCGAATTTTAGTTGATCTGTGGTTGTGCACACTATTAGCTCAATTGTGTCCATTTTAAAATCCGTTCTGTTCTGTTTATTTATTTTTTAAGTAATTCTTGATTGGCTTGATTGGGAGGTGTATATTAGAGTTGAATAGGCCTGCTCTAGATGAATGCTATTAGTCATTGAAAACAAAGCTCTGTCGTATGGTAGTTGCAATAGTTTTATACCTCTGAATCCCCCCCACTATAAACTCTCTAAAAGTTGGCTTTTAATGGTAGCTCGTCGAGCATCCTTGTGCTTGACAGGTCAAAAGCCCCACTCGTTCCCTGCAGCTTTTTCCACACATCCTCTCTTCCATCCAGAGCTGGATAATTAAAAACACTGATATCTAAGTAGCATTAGCAGACACAGAGCTCTACTCCACTCTCTAATAGAAACTTTAAGTGCAGTGATGGAGTGCTGGTCAGGTGATTGTGCTGTCTATAATTGTCAGATTATTAATAATGGTGGTAATTAAGTGAAATGCTGGTTAAGGTTTTGGTGTAATTAAAATGGTTGTTACAGTGTGTGTGAGTGTTTCTGAGTGTGTGACCTGTGTTTGAGAGAATGATGGCATCTTCAGTGTGATGGCTGTTTTTGCTCAAAGGTCTGAATGAATGGGGAGTTTTTGTTTACTGTAACTTTGTGAAGGCCATGGATATGGTACACTTTGGTTTCCCTTTTTTTTATTTTCATGAAGCATGTTTTTTTTTCTGGTGAGAACGGTTAGATGTTTGTTTTTGTTTTTTTTGTTTGTTTTTTAAACTGTTGTCCAACATGAAAAAATTAAGCTAGCATGAAAAATAATTTTAAGTGTCTCAAGTCAGAGGTGTATCTGACTAAAAAACACACTTTATAGTGTATCTTTTTCTAAAGTTTATATAGACGTATTTCCTAAATTTTAATAACAGTGTTGCAAACCACACACTTGCAGTATTAAATAAAGTATTCACTTTATTTTTGAAAGATTTTTCGAGACTAATTTTCTGTTCTCTTCATAGAAACTTCTGATTACAGTATGTAGAAAATTATCATTAGCCAGATGACAGAAAGTGACACAAAATTGCTTCAGCAGGTTATTAGTTTATATTTTCTAGTATTTTTATTGACTATATAAGGTTTAACATTTTGAAATTTTAGTTGATCTGTGGTTGTGCACACTATTAGCTCAATTGTGTCCATTTTAAAATCCGTTCTGTTCTGTTTATTTATTTTTTAAGTAATTCTTGATTGGCTTGATTGGGAGGTGTATATTAGAGTTGAATAGGCCTGCTCTAGATGAATGCTATTAGTCATTGAAAACAAAGCTCTGTCGTATGGTAGTTGCAATAGTTTTATACCTCTGAATCCCCCCCACTATAAACTCTCTAAAAGTTGGTGATTAATGGTGGCTCGTCGAGCATCCTTGTGCTTGACAGGTCAAAAGCCCCACTCGTTCCCTGCAGCTTTTTCCACACATCCTCTCTTCCATCCAGAGCTGGATAATTAAAAACACTGATATCTAAGTAGCATTAGCAGACACAGAGCTCTACTCCACTCTCTAATAGAAACTTTAAGTGCAGTGATGGAGTGCTGGTCAGGTGATTGTGCTGTCTATAATTGTCAGATTATTAATAATGGTGGTAATTAAGTGAAATGCTGGTTAAGGTTTTGGTGTAATTAAAATGGTTGTTACAGTGTGTGTGAGTGTTTCTGAGTGTGTGACCTGTGTTTGAGAGAATGATGGCATCTTCAGTGTGATGATGGCTGTTTTTGCTCAAAGGTCTGAATGAATGGGGAGTTTTTGTTTACTGTAACTTTGTGAAGGCCATGGATATGGTACACTTTGGTTTCCCTTTTTTTTATTTTCATGAAGCATGTTTTTTTTTTCTGGTGAGAACGGTTAGATGTTTGTTTTTGTTTTTTTTTGTTTGTTTTTTAAACTGTTGTCCAACATGAAAAAATTAAGCTAGCATGAAAAATAATTTTAAGTGTCTCAAGTCAGAGGTGTATCTGACTAAAAAACACACTTTATAGTGTATCTTTTTCTAAAGTTTATATAGACGTATTTCCTAAATTTTAATAACAGTGTTGCAAACCACACACTTGCAGTATTAAATAAAGTATTCACTTTATTTTTGAAAGATTTTTCGAGACTAATTTTCTGTTCTCTTCATAGAAACTTCTGATTACAGTATGTAGAAAATTATCATTAGCCAGATGACAGAAAGTGACACAAAATTGCTTCAGCAGGTTATTAGTTTATATTTTCTAGTATTTTTATTGACTATATAAGGTTTAACATTTTGATAGAGAAAGAATTTACCAATTTATTGTTTAGTGTCTGTGTTGTGTAAAAAAAACTAAAACAAAAAAACAATTCTGTCTCTGTCTTTGCAGACTCCAGATTTTCGGGTATTGGCTGTGTAGTGTGCGTGTGTGTTTGGGTCAAATGAATGTGAGTGTGTGTTGATTTGCTTTCGTATATAGAAAGATTGGAGGAGTGGGGGTGCTTATCATCCTGGATTTACTTGAGGAAAGATTTACCTCAGGGCTTTATGCATCAGGCCCAGGGGCTGCTCCTACATTTATAGCGAAACAAAAAAAAGACTGTGTAGCGGTTCAATTTTGGTCTTATTTGCTAAGATTAGGCTTGAGGAAAGCTGGAGTGATTTTGAACTTGGCCTGGAGGCTGATTTGCTGTAGAGTCATTCTGTTTGGATGCTGCTGGTGCAATATCCTCCAAGAGAAGAGACGATGTGAATTTAGACGCGTGTGTGCGTGTGTGCGTGAGCGTTTCTGTGTGTGAAGATTCTCATTTACTGTAGGTGGACCAAAGCATCATGATTCAGTGCTTGCTTGAATGAAAAATAATCATGTTGTACAACTAAATCTATATTCTGTCTGTACCACCCCCAATATTGTTTTGTTTTGTTTTTGTGTTTTTTGCTTTTTGTTTTGTTTGGCTTTTTGATTTTTCTTGATCGTTCCAGGGGATAAATATCATGTTATTGGAGTCGCTTAAACCCGCGGACATGAAAAACAACCCGCGGCAACAGTGTTAAAGTAGCCCAAGTCTGCGGTTGTTTTTCATGTCCGTGGGTTGAAGCGACTGAATGATATTCCCCTTTTTCATGATTGTTCATGCCCACTGTTTAGTATTAGAGCAGTGTTTGTGATTTGCACCCGCTACTGTTCTGTAAATGGTCAGGGCTTGCTTTTTTCCACCTGCCTTTCTTTAGTTACACTCTTTGAACTAAAGTAATCTTTTTCGGATGCAAAAAAGGGCCGCCTCTGAATCTATGTTTTGGTCACTAAATATGGCTTTGGTCCCTCCTTCAG